TGGATGGATGGGAGATGGGCAACAGTCCCAGGAGACTCTGCAGATGCACAGTCTGGGACAGACAGAGTTTCAGACAAAGAGATGCTGCTGTCCCCGTGCTGCTCTTAGTACATGGAGAAAGGTATGAGCAGCAGAAACAGATAAATGGTGGGAGAGACAGAGCCAAAGCTGCTCTGCTTCACATCTGGGGAGGGCAGCCCCTCAGTGTGCCTCAGGGCATCCCTCAGGGCTGGGGAGCTCTCCCTTTTCACCACATTATCCCAGCTCAACGTTTGGCTGAGCAAAGTCACATAAACAAGACATCCTGCCAGGCAAGGGCTCTTTGTCAGGTGATATGTGTATTCCAGGCTGTGTTTAAAATTCTGCTCACAATCCAGCGTGGCTCATATTTGCCATTTTAACACTCAGCAGGGCAGTTTGGGGTTTGAGAAACGTCAGGTCAGAAGACATGTGACCTTTGAGACAAATAACACCACAACCTGCAATTGTTTGTGTTAGCAGAGCCCTGCCATTAGTGTAAGCGCATTCCAGACACACAAAACATGCTAAGAGGAAAAAAATCCGTGCGCTCAAGACAACAAGGAGCTCTCAGGAAAAGCTCTCAGGAAATCATGAGCTGGTTTAGGCAGAGGTTTGGATCTGCTGGGTCCTTGGGGTGGTTAATTGCCCAAAGGGGGCAGGATTGCCCTCAGGCTGGGCTGTGAGGGTCCAGCTCTGCTCAGGCCGGTGCCTTGGGGTGCCTGCCTGGAACAGAGGCTAGGCAAGACTGAGAGAATAAAGTGGGGGTTTATTAAAGGCCCTCATGGCTACACCTTGGGCAGCCAAAGCCTACAGAGGCCTCACCCAAGGTGGATGATGGTGACAACTTTTCCACGCAATTATAAGTTTTGTCTATTTACACATCAGGGGTTAATCCCACAAATACAGCTTCAGGTAATGAAGTCACACACCCCCAGTTGGTTCCCCTCTCCCAGTTTACTTTTGTTTGTACTTTTCAGGCCCTGAGCCTGCAGGATCTCAGGGCAGAGGGATTGTTCTGCCTGCTGAAAATGTGAAGCCAGCACGTAACGCTCTGTATGGAGTTTAGAGCAATGCACTAAAGCAGTACAGGATTTGAAAAATGTAAAAGATAAAACTCTAAGGAATCAGGGGGGCCCCGGGGTGGAGGCCCCAGAGCCTCAGACTCGGGATGCTCCACTGCTCTGCCTCCTGCTGCTGCCTCCTGCCAGAGCACGGAGCTCATCAATCTCAGGGGGCATTGCGGGAGAGAGGAGCTTGAAAGAGAAACAGCGAAGGAATTGATTTCTCTGAGCCATCTCTGAAGTGCTGGACATCAAAGGCAGGGCTGACCCACACCCCATCCTGCTGCAGCCCTGCCTCTGTGGGCCCTGGCACACCCAGCCCTGGCACTGCAGGGATCCCCAAGAGCTGACACTATTGCAGCATCCCAGCTTTCTCTGCACGCTCAGATGGGCTTCTTTGCACTGATGCCCCAGCCTCCCACCCATGAGGAGCTGGAAATACAGTGGCATCTGGCAGAGTTAAACACCAACATGGAGCTGCAGCCCTTGACAGCTCCTTCCACTGCACTGGCTGCTATTGAGGCAACAGGGAGTTGCTTAGAGATAACAATAATTCTGCAGCAGGCACGAACAGATGATTCCTACCCTGATCCCGCAGTCCCTGACAGCACGATGTTCCTTAAATCAGAGACTTTCTGTGTTCATGTAGCCTGCCTCGTTTGCAGGGGTTTTCTCTGGGAGTTACCTGACTTTAAACAAACAAATCACACGTTTGAAGAGCCGGGAGCCTCTTCCTGAGCTGGGCCATAAATAATGAGTGAGGAAGGGAGCACAGAAAGGGCAGGCAGAGTGACAGGGACTCTGTGCTTGCTTCCTGCAGCCTCATTCCTTCTCCCCAGGCTCTGTTTCTCCCCACAGCCCAGACTGATATCCAGAATAAATCAGCTCAGGATCACAAGATTGTCTTTTTGCCATCCTCTGCTGCCTCCCCTTCCACGCCTCCCTTCCCAGAGCAAGGGGCAGGAGCCCACTGGGAAATGCAAAGTGCACTTAAACCTGTTAAATCTGCTGTACAACAACAGATCCACGGGGCCCACGGACACATCCAGCTCTAGAAAACAGATTCTGTCTCATCTCACCACACCACACCACACAGCGGCTTTAGCCAGAATCCAGCTGCAGACCTCACCGTGGCCTTGTGCTCTCCCAGGCTGATGGAGCCTCCTCCACATTCCTGCACCGCTCAGGAGGTCCAGCCTGGAGGGCAACCTGCACTTCACATCTGCAGGTCTGTTCAGGATCCACTGGCAGCAGGGCTGTGTGTCACAGAGCCCTCTCACCCCTTATCCTTCCCTCTCGCGCTGTCAGCACTGCCCCGGCCGCTCATGTTATTGTTCCTCCCTGATACGCTGAGTGCCAAAAGCAGAGAACTCCGTGTGTCATTTGGATCCAGACCTCAGATAAAGGGTTTGGCTGTGCCTCAAAGACCCACTCCTCTCCCTCTATGTTAAATGAATGTAATCCAAACGAAATTGGGTTTTTGAGAAGCTGGTTGGCACCGAAGCAAGGACAGAGCCCAGCAGAGTGGGAGTGGACATTCCAGGGCCCCTCTCCACGTGCTCCCAGCACCTTGTGCTTTTTAGCAGCAGCAGAGCAAGAAACACAGAGCTTAGTCACTTGGTAAAGCAAGCAAACACACGCCTCCCCACAGTCCACTGCTGAGACAGAGCACAATACCTGAGCATGTGTTTGATACACACAGTATGAAGCAATGCAAGGCAGCTGAGGGCACTCAGACCCTTCCTGTGTCCTTTTTGCAGAGCCCCAGGGACTATGGCAGAGCTCAGGGCATGGTCTGTGCCCAGAAAACACAGAATGCCAGGCTGGACAGGGCTCCGAGCAACCCCTTCCAGTGGAAGGTGTCCCTGCTCATTGCTGGGGGTTGGACTGGATGAGTTTTAAAAGTCCCTTCCCACCCAAACTGTGACTCCCTGGACACGCGTCATGGCTCGAGGCAGAGTGGCCACCAGCAGTGATCACCCAGCAGGCCTCACAGCTGCCCAAAGAGCCTCTAGGACCAGTTCCCCTGGAGGATCCATCACAGCCCAGCCACATCACCCCACAAGTGCTGCCCTCCTGTACCGGCCAGCCCTGCACTGCCCACCTTGTGCGAGTAGTGCTGATCCACGATCCTGGCCAGGCCGAAGTCGCCGATCTTCAGCACCAGGTCCTCGGTGCTGATGAAGATGTTGGCCGGCTTGAGGTCGCGGTGCAGCACGTTGGCCGAGTGGATGTACTTGAGCCCGCGCAGCAGCTGGTACATGAAGAGCTTGGCGTGCTCCTCGGCCAGCTTGCCCTGCTCCAGCAGCCGCGCCAGGTCCGTCTCCATGTACTCCTGCACGATGTACACCACGTTGAACTTGAAGAAGTCGCCGCGCAGGCGGGCGCCCTTGGGGCCCAGCACCTCGTAGACCTTGACGATGTTGTCGTGCTCGAGGCGGCGGATGATCTTGATCT